GTGTAATTATAAGATCACAATCGGGTACATGCGACTGACTTAACGGTGTATTATATGAGTACACAGCCTATTCCTGGTTTTACACAAGTCAGCACCACAAGATATATTTCCTAGGCAAGGATCCTCAAGTGAATCAGGTATGACTGAATTTTCATTTTTAATTAGTCAATTGTAAAACACCCCTATCCCCACCCTCGGGGGCAGTTTATTGTTGGGGATGGGGAGTAGTAAAAGAACTTTTTTATTTTAAAAATCAATTCTGTTGCCCACCCTATCAGTTCAGTGCAGTGGAAAACGGTTTTAGCACCGTGAAGTGACCACAAAGAGCAAAAGGGCCTTTAATACTTAGGGGGGTTAAGTCAAAGTTCAAGCTATTTTTAAGGTGTCTTTGGATTACACTTTACTAGTGCATTTCATCACCTAAGTGTAATAACTCCTAATAAATTTAGAAGGACATAACCTGTTACTGAACTAAGGTGACAAATTAAACTTTTAATATACTAAAAAAGTAATATATTCAATTTTTTTAGCTTCTTAACTACAGGTAATTTGAAATTACTTTTTTTTTTAGCTCACCTGCCACAAAGTGACAGTGTAGAGCTTTTGTGGATCTTTTCGTCCGGCGTCCGTCCGTCAAACTTTTGCTTTAAATCATCTCCTCATAAACCACTGAGCCAATTTCATCCAAACTTCACAGGAATGTTCCTTTGGTGCACGTCACCTTTAAAAATTGTTCAAAGAATTTAATTCCATACAGAACTCTGGTTGCCATGGCAACCGAAAGAAAAATCTTTAAATATCTTCTTTTAAACAACCCTAAGAGCTAGAGCTTAGATATTTGGCACGAAACATCTTTCTAGTGAGTGTCTACCAAGTTTGTTCAAATAAAAAAAGCCCTGGGGTCAAAATTGGCCCCGCCCCGGGGGTCATTGATTTTCCCTATATGCATATAGTAAAAAACTTGAAAAATCTTCTTTTAAAGAACCCAAAGAGCTACAGCTAAGATATTTTGGCATGAAACATCTTCTAGTGAGTGTCTACCAAGTTTGTTCAAATAAAAGCCCTGGGGTCAAAATTGGCCCGCCCGGGGGTCATTGATTTTCCCTATATGCTTATAGTAAAAACTTAAAAAATCTTCTTTTAAAGAACCGTAAGAGCTAGAGCTTAGATATTTAGCATGAAACATCTTCTAGTGAATGTCTACCAAGTTTGTTCAAATAAAAAGCCCTGGGGTCAAAATTGGCCCCGCCCCAGGGGGTCATTGATTTTCCCTATATGCATATAGTAAAAACTTAAAAAATCTTCTTTTAAAGAACCCAAAGAGCTAGAGCTAAGATATTAAGCATGAAACATCTTCTAGTGAGTGTCCACCAAGTTTGTTCAAATAAAAGCCCTGGGGTCAAAATTGGCCCCACCCCGGGGGGTTATTGATTTTCCCTATATGCATATAGTAAAAACTTAAAAAATCTTCTTTTAAAGAACCATAAGAGCTAGAGCTTAGATATTTGGCATGAAACATCTTCTAGTGAATGTCTACCAAGTTTGTTCAAATAAAAGCCCTGGGGTCAAAATTGACCCCGCCCCAGGGGGTCATAGATTTTCCCTATATGCATATAGTAAAAACTTAAAAAAGTCTTCTTTTAAAGAACCTAAAGAGCTAGAGCTAAGATATTTAGCATGAAACATCTTCTAATGAGTGTCTACCAAGTTTGTTCAAATAAAAGCCCTGGGGTCAAAATTGGCACTGCCCCAGGGGGTCATTGATTTTCCCTATATGCATATAGTAAAAACTTAAAAAATCTTCTTTTAAAGAACTCAAAGAGCTAGAGTTTAGATATTAAGCATGAAACATCTCTTAAGTAAATATCTACAAAGTTTGTTCAAATAAAAGCCCGGGGGTCAAAACTGGCCCTGCCCCAGGGGTGTCATTGTTTTTAACTATATGTGTATAGTAAAAACTTTAAAAATCTTCTTTTAAAAAACCCAATGAGCTAGAACTTAGATGTTTAGCATGAAACATCTTCTTATGGGTGTCTACCAAGTCTGTTCAAATAAACAAATAAAAGCCCTTGGGTAAAAATTGGCCCGGGAGGGGGGGGGGGGCTATATACAGGTGAGCGACCTCAGGGCCATCATGGCCCCTTCTTGTTACTCAACTACTCGGATATTGTATGTGTACAATATTTTTAGTATAATTTTCAATAATACGTTAAATATGTTACCAATAATGTTTAATCTTTCCTTGTGATATTTTCAAGAATGGGTTTATTGGTAAAGAACTGGATTCCACCTGTAAAACCCAGTTTTTCAGTTTCTGACAATCTTACATCATCCTTTATTGTTTTTATACAAAACAAAATTGGCAAGGTTGCTTTTGTTGACATTAAAATTAAATCTACCACAATTAATTAATTGTCTTCATATATGACTGTATATCATACTTCATGATCATGTGACCAGATGTATATCTGATAAATCCCTCATTCTTGAATCTCATTGCCGTCGAAATTAGGTTCATGGATTAAGCATTGTTTGAAATCTGAACGGAACAACAAAAAAATACGGCATGATAAATTTGATCTTGATATTATTAAGTACATAATATACATGTAGACTGTGACCAAGATTTTATTTATCAATTAAAGGGGATAGACATTACTTCACAAAATGTATTGAACCAGTCTGTGGAAGTAAAGATTGTATAAACTTGCAGACTTTGTGTAATGACTTTGCCTTAATTTTAGAACAGTATTGACTGTTGACAAAAATTTGATATTACATTATTTCACATAATGAATTGGACCAGTATTGGAAGTAGAAATATAAAGCAGTTTAACCCTTAACCCTGCAGACTGTCTATAATGAATTATATAATATTTAATTATATTTATTACATAACCCTTGGCCTTTACTTTTGAAAATGAATTTGCTTTTAAATTTAGAACAGTTCAATTATAAAATGAAGGGATTTCAATTTCAAAATACAAAAAATGTACAATCAGTAGTTGAGTCTGGTCAGACTGCAGGGATGCGCAGGCTGGCTTGGCTCTATACTGGTGGGGTGGCAAAGGCATATATCTTTTGGGTCAATAAAAGGGAGACACAGGCAAAATTTTCATTTTTCTTCGTTTTGAATTTTTAATTCATTTATCTGTAAATGTCCTCAAAATGAATACACCAGGCAGTCACAGAAACAAAACATTTTCCTTATAAAAATAAAAGGGTGGTTTCCTAAGTTGACCCACGTGGGTCAGGTTAGAGCATAGTTGTCACAGTGATATCTTTGAAACGTTCAAGGAAACATGTCAAATGAATGATTAGGTTTGTTTCAATCATACTATATCCACAATCTTCCCAGGGTTTGTTCTAGTCACATTACTAGTTTTAAAACTACTTTGTGGTTCTGTCGGCGTCTAAATTTCGTTCAACATAATTATATGTATAGATATATTTACGCTTCAAACCGAAAATATATAGTATTTACAGAAATTCATGCCGGGACTTTTACAAATGTCACTTTAGCGTGATTCGAGTACAAAAGATGATTTTGTTATTTTTGTCAAAAATTGCCTGAGTTAACCCTTTAAGACTGATATCATATTACTTGACTAATATAAATAGGACCAGTTACACCAGTCTAAAGGAAGTAGAAATTGCAACCAGTTTGCAAGCTAGCCTAATGAAATGTTAGAAATTCAGAGTGCAGTTAAGGTTTATTTTCCATTTCCTAAAGCATGCAAATCATTTGAAATGTCAACATGACTAGCATAAACTTTATTTGCCAAATTTCATCAAAGTGGCAACAGAACTATTCACTTTGATATCTGATATAATAATATAGTTAATGATATTCTTAATGGTTTTTAACTGGCTTTGTCAGGTTACTGAAAAATTGTCAGATTTTCTGAGTAATACATAAGTTTTCCATTATGACAGATTTTAGCCACTATAATAGACAGATATTGATAGTGAGTTTTGTCAGATGCGCTTAAATTGACAATGTTAGTTTTCACAAATAATATGATGGTTTTGTTTTCTTTGTCAAATTAATAATAATTAAGATACCTGTTGGCAGATATATATATGTTGCCAACTTTGTAAGATATTAACCATTGCTTGAAAAATTTGTCAGATAATAAGATCCCTGTTGGCAGATATACATGTTGCCAACTTTGTCAGTTTTTGGTCATTTCTTGAAAATTTGTTGCATACATTTTAGTAAAAATGCTATTGTCCGATTAACATATTGTAAGTATTGCTTGAAAAATTGTCAGATTGCTTTAAAATAATTGCCAATTTACAAAACTCACTGCCTTCAATTTTGACATGTATGGCATAAAATTATCATTCATTTTATTTTTAAGATGAATGGAATGTTGAACCATTTCTTTTATTATGTTAATATCATGTGGAATCACCTTAAAATACTCTACTTGATTTCCTTTGATCATGATGAAACTCAGGTGCTTCGGAAGCAGAAAAAAACAATTATCCATGTGTGAAACCATTTCTTATTACATAGTTTGAAACAAAATACATTTTGCATGGCAGACCAATTAGATGTAAGTATTTCAGTTATTCGGTGAGTTTGTCTTTGAACGCAGCAAGAATTTCAGGTTGAGTCGGTTAAAACTTCAGAGATGATGTAAAAACTGAACATTTAACAGGTGTTAATGAAAACATATATGCAAGTGTGGAATAGTGAACAGGTTGAAACCTGTTAATTTTGTCCGTAAATTAAACCCCCGCTGTCTGATGCTAAACGTAAACGAGGATTGAAAATATAATCTTTCAGAAAAAAATTGTTTATGCTGTATAATGAATAATTTATTTGAGATATGAAAGTTATTTGATTAAAGATATCCTTTAAAGTAAATAGATACTTTTTCACATAACCAACTATTACCTCCCCTTGGGCCACCATTTTGGGGTCATTCCTAATATATCTTATTTTTTATGCTTAAGATAAAATTCTCTCATTATTCTTTCATCTTCATGGAAACTGATAAAAATCTTTTACATATTGTTGCTATAATATTTTGCTGCATATGTATACAAGAATTTGAAAATTCATGTAAATCAGTCTGCTGTTTATAGGGATTTTTTTTTTCATATTTTGTCAATTACATTAATTATCTTTTAGCAAGGGAGATAATTATTGTAAAAATCAGGAACTTACCATCAGTTGTTAATTATATAAAAATGGTTAAAAATGGTTCTAATTTTTTTTTTGGCATGACAAAAAAAAACCCCGAACAGTTGATTGTTGTGGTTAAAAGTACAATCAGGGTGAGAGAAAAAAAGTTACGAAACAGAAAAAAATATGAATAAATTTGTGATGAAAACTGATCTTTTTTCTCCCTTGATGGTTTATTATTGAATTCATTATACCATATTTGCATATTGTCCTCATTATGCGGTGTTGAAATGTCATAGCCGAGGTTAAATAGTTCCGTTATAGATGACCTACACTGTGATTAATTGGGGTACGATTTCCCAAACACATCGGCCCGATATTCATCACCGCAATATTTTGTATAAAATATGGCATAAATCAGTTTGTATTCAATAATATACTCGAAAAATGATAGATTGTACGTTTGTTCTTTTTTGTATTCCTATGACTAAATGAATTCAACAAGATGGAAAAAGGGAAAAAAGAAAATTAAAGCTCAGGTTTTGACATAAAATTTTGATAAATGTTCGACTACGTGGGTTGTATGCATTCAAAAATATGAATACTGGTAGTTTTTGACATTTGACAGTCAGATCTCTTGCTGCCGTGGCAGTTTATAAGCTTTCATTTGTTGGCATCTGTATTGGTGTCTACTTTGTCGTCTGCTATCTTTGTAATTCTGGCATCTCATTAGTACTTGATGATTTCACATGATTATATCTTAAGACGATTACCGCACTTTTCACTTTCTCATAATCGTCTTTTTCAAACCTGTATTTGATGTTTTGTAAGAAATTCATTACAAAGGGGTCTTTGTGTCAAGGTCACTTTGGGTCAGGTCACTGAATTCAGGTTTTTTATGTTGTACAGCTTTTATATTAGATATATGTTGAGAAGTTAAAATTGTTTTGTGCTTGTGGAGATTATAACCAGCTAATAGCTCCGGACTCTCATATGGTTCACAGCTGATTTTTATTGATACAACCCTGATATCTCACCAGTACGGTACATGGACTTGTCCATCTGTCAGAATGGACTTAAACCATTAATAAATTTTTAGGGAAAACATAAAAAGTACATGTATATACCAATTGAATAGCGAACAGTGCAGTCCACACAGATGTGCTGGCAGAACTTGGTCTGCACTGGTCATGTGTGCAAATTCTGTTGGTGCCGGCAGGCCAAGAGTTAAAGTAATACAGTCATAACTGTTACTGTTATGCCTTCACCTTGATGTCTGTATGACAAAAAAAGAAAGGAGAAATAAAGGAGCTGTTATGATGATTATATTTTGAGTAAACAGTGCAACCTTCACAGAGGGGCCCATTTGAACTTTCAATTTTCTTAGACGCATCGAGAAAAACGACTTCTCAAAATTCGACATATAGTTTTACTGTATATCCTGGCTTGAAAATATCAGATTTCCGTCAATCGTTAAAACTTATATGGAAATCATATTGTAGCTCCAGCATTGTATAGGTTAATATTTTTGTGATGTTTCTACTTACAGAAGGAGATAGTGAAAGGTCGCCACCATCTTACAGAGCGAACAGTTTTGCTGCTGATGACAGTTACGGTATTATGGGCGGGAATTTCCCGCCTCTAGAACTGATGGCCATGTTTACTGCTGCCGCCATGCATGACTATGATCATCCAGGTCGTACAAATGCATTCCTAGTTGCCACACACGCACCTCAGGTAAGGTTTTCATGACACATGATAACTATATTTTCACCGAGTTAGTTATACAAGTGATTGGATGTTCTCATAGTTTCAACAATATTTATTTATAATCAATACATTTACATATTCATAATAAGGTACAGAAAATTTATGGATTTAGTTTGAAGCTCAAGTTTTTTATGCCACCGCAGCATCTGCGATGCGGTGGCATATAGCGATTCACCTGTGTGTATGTGTGTGTGTTTGTGCGTTAGTGTGTTATATAGATTATATAGTGAACTTAAAAAATCTTCTTGTGAAAAACCACTAGTCCAATTTCAACCAAACTTGGCAGGATTGATCCTTGGGTGAAGGGCTTCCAAAGTTGTTCAAAGAATTTCATTCCATGTAGAAATCTGGTTGCCATGGCAACCAAAAGGAATTATAAGAATAAATTCAAAAAATCTTCTTGTAAAGACCCAAAAGGCCTAGAGCTTAGATATTTTGCATAAGGCATTTTCTGGTATACCTCTACCAAGATTGTTCAAATTATAGCCCTGGGGTCTAAATCGACCCCGCCCCAGGGTCATTGATTTTCACTATATGTACATATAGTAAAAACTTAAAATACCTTCTTGTAAAGACCCAAATTGTCTAGAGCTTAGATATTTTGCATATGACATTGTCTGGTAGACCACTACCAAGATTGTTCAAATTATAGCCCTGGGGTCAAAATCAGCCCCGCCCCGGGGGTCATTGATTTTCACTATATGTACATATAGTAAAAACTTTAAATACCTTCTTGTAAAGACACAAAAGGCCTAGTGCTTAGATATTTTGCATAAGGCATTGTGTGGTAGACCTCTACCCAAATTATTCAAATTATAGCCCTTGGGTGAAAATCGGCCCTGTCCCGGTCGTCATTGGTTTTCCTTATATGTATAAAGTAAAAACTTATAGTAAAAACTTTAAAAAAAATTCTTCTTGCAATTGACAAATGCTAGAGATTAGATATTTTGCATGAAACATTGTGTAGTGAACCTCTAGCAAGATTGTTCAAATTTTAGCCCTGGGGTCAAAATTGCCCCCGCCCCGGGGGTCATTGATTTTCAATATATACATATAATAAAAGATAAAAAAATCTTGTCTGAAGGTACAAGGCTTTCAAAACTTAAATTACCTTCTTGTAAAGACCCAAAAGGCCTAGAGCTTAGGTATTAATGCAGTGGCATAGCATTTTTCTCAAATGCAATCTTGTTTTATAATTCACTCGATGTTCTTGTGTATGGCTTGAAAAGAATTAATACACATTTTCATGTTGCCTGTTTTCAATATGAACATCTTATATTTTTAAATATTACTAAGTGTTGATTGGAAAATATCAGAATGTCCCATAACATTATATAAAGGAATAATATTGAAATGGAACATTTTATGATGGTTGAGCTGTTTTTCAATGTTTACTTGCTTTATGATATAGGTTGTGGAAAGAAAATCTTACATTCATTGAAGCTTCGTCAATATGTATTTTAATTGTCCATGAAATGATATGAGCCGCCTCACGACAAAACCAACATAATTGGTTTGCGACCAGCATGGATCCAGACCAGCCTGCACATCCGCGCAGTCTGATCAGGATCCATGCTGTTCGCTATCAGTTTCTCTACTTGTAATAGGGTTTGTAAGCGAACAGCATGAATCCTGATCAGACTGCGCGGATGCGCAGGCTGGTCTGGATCCATGCTGGTCGCAAACCCATTATGTTGGTTTTGTCGTGACACAGCTCAATTATAAAGCTCCCTACAGTCTCATTTTTAGCTCGACTTTTCTATGAAAAGGGGAGCTATCCTACTCGCCCCGGCGTCGGCGTCGGCGTTAGCGTCGGCGTTGGCGTCACACCTTGGTTAAGTTTTTCGTACCACCCCACTTTATTTCAGAAGTATTACAAGTATGGCTTTGAAACTTACCATACTTGTTCACCATCATAACCTCCATCTACAGACAGGAGTACATAACTCTGTCAAGGTTTTTGACAGAATTATGGCCCTTTTTTGACTTAGAAAGTGTATTGAGCTTGGTTAAGTTTTTTGTACCACCTCACTTTATTTCAAAACCATTGGAGGTATTGCTTTGAAACTGACCATACTTGTTTACCATCACGACCTTCATCAACAGACAAGAGGACATAACTCTGTCAAGGTTTTTGACAGAATTATGCCCCTTTTTGACTTAGAAAATACATTGAATATGGGTAAAATCCACTTATTGCCTTAACCCTTTGAGATATTGCTTTCAAACTTTTAATGCTATTTCACATCATTACCCCCATCTGTACGCAAGAGAAGGTAACTCTGTCAGGGATTTGTTTTAAAAATTAAGGCCTTTTATCGACTTAGAATCTTGGTTAACTTTTTTTGTACCAGTCCACTTTTTGACTGAACTGGTTGAGATATTAAATTGAAAGTTGGAATACTTGTTTACCATCATGGTCCCAAAACATGGGCAGGAGAAGGTAATTCTGTCAAGGATTTTATTTGAATTATGGCCCTTTTTGACTTAGAAACTCAGTTAAAATTTTCATTCTTGTCCACTTGTTGACTTAACCATTTGAGATATTACTTTGGAAGTTGGAGTTCTTATGTGCCATCATGAGACCTATCTGTAAGCAAGAGAAGATAACTCTGTGAAAATGTTTCTTGATTTGTACTTAGAAATTCCTAGTTAAAGTCTTGTGTGCCCTTAACTGTCAAAGTTTTGTTTTATAGGCAAGCACTAAAAAAGTCGAGCGCGCTGTCCTTCTGACAGCTCTTGTATAACACTTTCCATGATTTGTTTAACCCTTAGCATTTTTGAGGTGACTGAATCAACCTATATATGATACCAGTACAAACAAAACCAGATGAAATATCTGTTCCATCTGATCATGGTCTGCACTGTTTGCTTTTCTTTCAGTACATATTTTATAAAATGTTCCCTAAATCGATGAATGGTTTTGTCCAAAAGGGAAGATGGACAAGTCCATTTATGATATTTAGCTTATTTAGCATTGTAATGATTAATCTATTTTTAAATAATTTAAAAATGATAACAAATGTATGACACTATATATATCTAATGTATTGTTTTTTTCCAGGCTGTACTATACAATGATCGCTCAGTTCTAGAAAACCACCATGCTGCGTCTGCTTGGAATCTGTTCCTGTCAAGTCCCGATTTTAACTTCCTGTCAGGTCTTGATCAGGCGGAGTTTAAGAGGTTTCGTTACCTTGTTATTGAAGCTATCCTCGCTACAGATCTAAAACGCCATTTTGAAATATTAGCGGAATTTAATGCCAAAGTAAGTTTCAGTGCTAATTTGAAAATAATGCCATCTGGAATATAAGAAAAACAATTAAGTTAAAGAATGAAAATTAGGCAAAATTTCTTACAAATATTCCATTTTAGTTGATTTAATTTTAATATACTTTAGTTTGAAATATAAATAAAATTCAGTGTCTAAATTGCTATTTTTGAAAAGAAAAAAGGTGTTATGGAAAATTAAGAATGTTTGTGAAACATTCAAATTGCTTAACAAATACTGTTATGAAATCTATTTGTCATCATAAACCCTATGAACAAAGGGTGCCATATGAAGAGGTTATGGAAAATGTTGCCTTTACTTACCTGCTGGAAGTGAAAGTGATTAGGCTTTGGCGCCAGTATAGAGACAGGCTTAGTCTTCACTTCTGTACTATTCGACCAGGCTCTATACTTTTCTTTGCTCAATTTTTGTATTTTGATACTTTCAAATGGACTGTTTCAAATTCAAAGTGCAAATTCATCATTTAAATTCCTGTTATCACAAATAAGGAATAAGTTGAAATACATAGTCTCCCAAGTAAGGTACAGTGATTGGAAGTAACCTGTGCTTTTACTCGCAAGACACGGAACACATTGAATTATATTGGGTTGCAAGACAAGGGTACAGTGATTCCGTTGATATACTGTAAAATCTAGAATGTTGAGAATTTATAAGAATTTAAAGTGCAGGATAAAAGCATAAGGTTGCAGTAAACACATCATTTATAAATGCATGTTAATTTTCAGGTAAATGATGACCATGCTGTTGGTATTGACTGGACAGTAGAGACTGACCGACTACAGGTGGCACAGATGGTTATAAAACTCGCTGATATAAATGGTCCAGCTAAAATTAAAGATCTACACACGTCCTGGACTTACAGAATAGCTGAAGAATTCTATGAACAGGTAATTTCTGATAAGATAAAAAGTATGCATTGATAATTCAGATTGAAAATCTTTTTTTTCTGTACTTTTGTAGAAGAATTAAACTTATACTGTCAATTCCAGCAGTCTGATAATGGGCTGCACTGTTCGCTTTTGAGTCAGTACTTGATTTAAAATTTTCCCTAAAAGTGATGAATGGTTGTGGATAGGTTGAAAGATGTACCAAGTCTGTTTAAGATATTACATGACATAATATTTTATGGAAGTCTAGATCATTCTTAAGAGAGGTGTGTTAAATATTTTTCACCTTTAATTAAAAGTCACTTTCAACTAAGCAAAAATAAGCAAGGAAGAGTGGAGTTTATACAAATGTTCTGTATTTTTGCCTGTTTTCATTGTTAGCCAAAAATTGTAATTGCAAACTTAACAGAACTAAGCAAGAAAGAAGTGGAGTTTATTCAAATGTTTTGTTTTCTTGTCTCTCACAGGGTGATGAAGAGTCTAGATTAGGAATGCCCATATCTCCTTATATGGATAGAAGAAATCCACAGTTACCTAAACTCCAGGAAACATTTATAAATCACCTGGTGGCGCCACTGTGTAACTCTCTAGTTACAGCAGGTCTATTACCTGGTACCTGGGTGGAGGAAGACAGTGACAATGAAGGTATGTGTTAAATATGTCCCTTATTCATTAATAATTGTTCATTTCTTGTTCTTCGGGATGATTGATTGCAACACTTTTTAGTACCGCTCAAGTCTGTGCTTGGGGGCATGAGGGATGTTGCTTTATTTCATTATCCTTCATGTACAGTCTCTAAAACTGGAAGATTTGGTCCAAGAATAAGTTGAAAGGCCATTAGCTAAATCATTATTTTACCATAAAAAATCTGTTAAAGGTCCCTGCAATATTCAAGAATATAATGATGAGTTATTAATCTTTATTTGGCCATCAATCCTTTTGCATTATTAGCTCACCTGTCACAAAGTGACAGGGTGAGCTTTTGTGATCGCTTTTCGTCCGGCGTCCGTCCGTCGTCCGTCCGGCGTCCGTCCGTAAACTTTTACTTTAAATGACATCTCCTCATAAACCACTAAGCCAATTTCATCCAAACTTCACAGGAATGTTCCTTTGGTGGTAACCTTTAAAAATTGTTCAAAGAATTTAATTCCATGCAGAACTCTGGTTGCCATGGCAACCGAAAGAAAAAACTTTAAATATCTTCTTTTAAAAAACCGTAAGAGCTAGAGCTAAGATATTTGGCATGAAACATCTTCTAGTGACTGTCTACCAAGTTTGTTCAAATAAAAGCCCTGGGGTCAAAATTGGCCCCGCTCCAGGGGGTCATTGATTTTCCCTATATGCACATAGTAAAAACTTTAAAAATCTTCTTTTAAAGAATCCAAAGAGCTAGAGCTAAGATATTTAGCATGAAACATCTTCTAATGAGTGTCTACCAAGTTTGTTGAAATAAAAGCCCCGGGGTCAAAATTGGCCCCGCCCCAGGGGGTCATTGATTTTCCTTATATGCATATAGTAAAAACTTAAAAAATCTTCTTTTAAAGAACTCAAAGAGCTAGAGCTAAGATATTTAGCATGAAACATGTTCTAAAGGGTGTCTACCAAGTATGTTCAAATAAAAGCCCTGGGGTCAAAATTGGCCCCTCCCCGGGGGTCATTGATTTTCCTTGTATGTGTATAGCAAAAACTTAAAAATCTTCTTTGAAAAAACCCAAATAGCTAGAGTTTAGATATTAAGCATGAAACATCTTCTAGTAAGTGTCTACAAAGTTTGTTCAAATAAAAGCCCTGGAGTAAAAACTGGCCCGCCCCAGGGGTGTCATTTATTAACTATATGTGTATAGTAAAAACTTAAAAATTCTTCTTTTAAGAAACCCAATGAGCTAGAGCTTAGATATTTGGCATGAAACATCTGCTAGTGAATGTCTACCAAGTTTGCTCAAATAAAAGCCCTGGGGTCAAAATTGGCCCCGCCCCAGGGGGTCAATGATTTTCCCTATATGCATATAGTAAAAACTTAAAAAATCTTCTTTTAAAGAACCCAAAGAGCTAGAGCTAAGATATTTAGCATGAAACATCTTCTAATGAGTGTCTACCAAGTTTGTTCAAATAAAAGCCCCGGGGTCAAAATTGGCCCGCCCCAGGGGGTCATTGATTTTCCTTATATGCATATAGTAAAAACTTAAAAAATCTTCTTTTAAAGAACTCAAAGAACTAGAGCTAAGATATTTAGCAGGAAACATGTTCTAATGGGTGTCTACCAAGTATGTTCAAATAAAAGCCCTGGGGTCAAAATTGGCCCCGCCCTGGGGTCATTGATTTTCCTTATATGTGTATAGCAAAAACTTAAAAATCTTCTTTGAAAAAACCCAAATAGCTAGAGTTTAGATATTTAGCATGAAACATCTTCTAGTAAGTGTCTACAAAGTTTGATCAAATAAAAGCCCTTGGGTCAAAACTGGCCCCGCCCCAGGGGTGTCATTTATTAACTATATATGTATAGTTAAAACTTAAAAAATCTTCTTTTAAGAAACCCAATGAGCTAGAGCTTAGATGTTTAGCATGAAACATCTTCTTATGGGTGTCTACCAAGTTTGTTCAAATAAAAGCCCTTGGGTTAAAATCGGCCCTGCGGGGGTGGGCTATATACAGGTGAGCGACTTCAGGGCCATCATGGCCCTCTTGTTAGATTAAATTTTTGCAGCTTCAGAAAAATCAATGAAATATTCAAATGCAGAGCAATGATTGAAATAGAATGGAGATTGGAAATTGTATTAATAAGAACATTTTAGAATCATATTTACATGTTTGATTGCAAATGTGATGTGTCAAGGTTGACAGATTAGTGATATTGTATTTGTAGGTGAATCCGACACAGAAAAAGGTGATAATATGATGAAAGACACTGAAGACGAGACCGAGACTGATACTGAGTGTGGTGAGTACATTAGTCATGTGACTTATTGCTAGGCAACTGGTGCTGTATATATTTATCATGTAACTGGTTGCTTAGTTACTTATAGTGTGTACCAGTCATGTGACTGGTTGGTTGGCAACTAGTCACTGAATATATTAGACATGTAACTGGTTGCTTTGTTACAATTTGTGTATAAAAGTTTTGTAACTGGTTGCTAGGCAATAAGTAGGGAGTACAGATGTTATGTGATTGGTTGCTAGGCAACTAGTTGTGAGTATATATGTTAAGTGACTTATTGCTAGGCAACTTACATTTAATTTTGGTCTTATTCAATAGTCAGACATAATTTCAGAATATTCTTTAATAAAGATTCAACAGTATTGGAGAAATTATAAATCTGGTTTACCTATGAGTTAGAAAAATAATTTTTTTGCAATTTAAGAATCTACCCATCACACTACAAAGTACATTAAATACTCTTTTAAAATGCACTTATGATTTATTCTTGAATTTTGCTTCCAATGACCCAACTGACCTTTAGATAATTTCATAATAGAGAGTGTAATATGATTTTTGTTTTCTTATTCTTCACCCACCACTTTCTTCTTCTGTTTTTTTGGTTTTTTTTGTTCATTTTCATGACGGAATTTCTAATTTTCTGTATATATTGACAGGTACGTTGATGAACAAGCCAGTGAAGAAACCTAGAAAGATAAACTGTATACTAACAAAGAATATGAAAGATAACCATGAGATGTGGGTGGCCAAAATACAAGAGGATGAGCAACAGAAATCTCTGTCTGAGAAATTAGAAAATATTCAACAGGTAATACATGTAGCTGTAAATGTTGGAAAAATGGTTCTTAGCTAAATAGGTACAGCAATTTTATGAAACCAGAAATAAAAGTCTCGATGGAAGACAACAGTCCTAAGGGTATTGCCTTTAACTGTAAACATGCTTAATATCAGAAATGGACTTGTCCATATTTCAATCTATACAAAGCCACCATTTTTCAATCTATACAAAGCCATAAGTTTTAGAGAGGTTTTCAATATGTATTGTCTGAATAGGGAATAGCACACACCATAAGTAGACAGCACCAATGTGACGACTGTTCTTGGTTGCAAGGGTTACATGGTTGAATCTGTTGCCACCAGCAGAAAAACAGTTACACAGGTAGAATGCTCTGTGTCTGTAGTCTTGAAATTGATGATTGGGTGTGCAAAAAAGTGACAGAAGTAAGCTCTTGTTGGGTGTAAATTATATTAAAACTTATAAGTCATTGGATTTTCTTCCTTATAATTACGATGTTGTTAAAAGGTGATGTGAAAAATATTAACTTAAAAAAATCACGGATGTGTTGAATGTTATGTTAATTTCAATTGCAGGAAACTGTTTGTCTTGAAAAGTCAGAAATGGAACCGATCAAAGAGGAATCTGAGTCTCCAAATTCCACGTCTCCAACATCACGTATCCCAAAATCCTCTGCTGAAGAGCCTAGATCTGAAGAATCCTCAGCAGACGTAAAACCAACGTCAGCAGACGACATTGAAAGTCAACCTGGAGATAAAACATGAACAATTTGTCGTTTGTTAGGAAATTGAGAGGAAGTGCTAAACACTGTTGATTTCAATCTATTTGTAGCATTATTAGGTCGTAGTTATTTATATTCTTGTTAAAGATTAGACATGCGTGTTCATACATGTATTATTTTTGTTTTAGCTGTTGATATACATGTACATTACAAACCTTGTCAACAAAATCCAGGAATGTGATAATACTCTATAATTCCACTATGGAATCAGGATTGTGCTCTTCGTATTGGAGATAAGAGTCTACACTCTTCAATAAGGAGATAGAAAATGTACTTGTTCCTCCATAAGGAAGAGTATTTTGTTACTTTTTGACACAGAATGTTCATGCCAAAAGCAGATGTTAGATTTGGATTTATAAGTAGGCAACATAACAGAAATTTAGAGTATCTGTCAACTTAAGTGTGTGAAGCACATGTCAGTTTTGAGATTATGAAGGATACAGTTATCAGCTCATAGGTCTGAAAGCCGTATGTAAATCTTAAAATCTGATACTAGATGTTTGCTTTGGGATTTTTAAAAAAATTATAATGCGAACTTTCAAACATCAATTTTAAGTTGGAATAGCATAAATGGACTTAAGGTCTTAATGGCAGATTTGAACATACAAGTTAAAATCGATGTTCACTTAAATGCAATCAGACAATAATTTAAGAATTGAAAGACGATGCCAACCATATTATGTATAAGCTGAAAAGCAGATGTCATTTAAAGGTTTTATATAAATGCTGAAGGGTTACATTAGCTTTACAGCAGACTTGAATTTGAAAGCAGACGTCAATTTGACAGCAGACGTCAATTTGACAGCAGATTGCAGATGCTTACATCGATTTCATGTAATGTAGAGCCTTGCAGATGTAATGTATATCCCAATTATAGGAAATTTAAAATTCATTTGACAATATAGAGTCCAGTTATTCATACTGTTCGGAGGGTATTTTTTTTATCCCAGTATGAAAAATGTGCGGTCTTTACTATTGACAGAACTGAATACCTCTATTAAGCTGCAATAATGTATTGATCATAAATTATATCTTATGCCAGTATTTTTTTTATACTTTCAAATGTTAACCATGAGTCCATTTAATATTTTACTCACTAGAGACGGAAAAAAAAAAATATGAAGTTATGAATGTGACCGAAGGAGATTGCTAGTTTTAGACAAAATATGCCAAAATTGTAATATTCATATACCGCAATAATCTTTTATCTCCTTGTGATTAAGGTCGTTGACTTCAAACCACTTGCCCCTCACCGCTGTGGGTTCGAATTCCGACAGGGCCTTTTGGTTCTTTTATGTGAGGGAGCAATGGGTTATCACTTTCGGTACTGGCAGAATTAGGGTAAGCATAATGGATATTGACATATAAAAATGGCAATGTTACACGTTAGAAATAAATCATTTTCATACTTTTCTATTTTGTTATTTAAGCAGACATTTTAAAAGTGTTTAGGGGTAAAATGGGTTTATTATGTATAAAATTTACTGTTTGACTTCTTTTTAGCGGTAAATAGCGGGTAACAAACATTTTTTATTCAGAATTGTTTTGTTCACTCTGTATTGCCTATTTTTTATGAATGGATTTCAATTCTTTGTAGGGATTGACGGTACAAAGAAAATTGTTCTGCTCGCATTGCCAAATTCATTCTCTTTTATTCTGATTTTTTTTTTTAAAGGTTTTACAAATATTCTCAATAACCTTGTTTTGTAATTATTTCATTTTTTGCTCAACAGATATCACAGGATGTGATTGTTTTACAAACACACCCCTCCCTTCTTTATTAACTAATTATATATAGAAAGTCATACTTTTTTATGGCTTATGTACATTGGTTGTCCATTGCAACTTCTGCTCGCTGAAATCTTATTTTATTATTAAAACAAAATGAATACTTTATTTTGTGATGCATATAATTATAAATCAACAAAATTTACAAAATCCGTTTTTCTCTGATTCTGTGCATTGGAACATCCTGAATATTTTAATTCCGTTATTTTATATTGATATTATATATATAAAATTATCATATTTACAAACAGTGATCTGAACAATAAGGGTAATCTCTTGCTAAAGTAATTTTCTACTGTTACTTTATGATTATTGTACACTGTAATGTCATATAAATATTTTCAGGCATATTTTTTTAGATTAATCGTCATACTGCTGATTCGTATTCAATCTAATTTGAATCACATCTCTCGATTTATTTCCCGGCACATTCATTATGTTATAAAAATTCTGGAAATGGAACCCACAAGAGCAAAAGCAATATTGTTGTATTGTAAGTCACAGACTCTTTTTTTTTAAGAGATTAGTGGTAATACAATGATGCAACATCTCTTACGTCCCCCTAGCCGTTGTGTGCATTCTTGTCTATGCCACCACTATAGAGTTAAGGCAGTTGTGCACAACCTTATCTTTGCCATTAGTAAAGAGTTAGGCTGTTGTTCAAATCCTTATTGTGTGACAACAGTGCACTTCTCAGCTGCTTAATTTAGCATTTTGGTGTCAAAATTGTTACACGTATACAATAGTCAATTGGAATTTCAAAGCAGGGCATGCCCATTTCACAAAATTTTATATAACAGGCATGAATAAGTTCTAAGGTCTGGTTTGAATCTGAACACTGGTTTAAGATAACTGGTTTTCTTGCATAAAGACATCATGAAAATAACACCAAACTTTTTTATTTTCTTTTTTATTTTGATAATAAAGGGTCGTTCTTTGAGAGAGATGATTTCCAGTTAGTATTCCGGATATATCTATGTGCCATAACCATGCTTATGTCATTTTCATTTCATACGCTCGTGAAAAAAAAAAAACTTGCATTCTTTGTAAAATGAGGTCATATTGTGGTGATATTTTGCGGGGCTTATACCTTGTTTTTTTTTTTGTACCCCGTGTAATCCTTGTGTATATCCTTTTTTGTACAGATTTATTCAAAAACCCTTGAACCCTTTAGCTCCCTGCCCCCTTTTCCCCATCCCCCATGTTACATGTCTTAGCATAGACCCATTTGTTCCATTTAAATGATTTCTAATAATAATTTTTTGAAAAGTGTACCAAATTGGTCTATGATGTTTGTAAAAGGTTCTCTTTTTTGTATATTAAATGGTGTTGTAACTATTTCTTACTTAAGATCCATAGATTTTTGTCAGTTTGTAAATAGATAATTACGTAATTTGTACAGTTTTAATATTTATTATACAAGGGAGGTAACTTAATTTACCTTGTTTTACATTAATTTCTTTTTTATGTGCTTTTTACCTCTCTTTGACTGTGTATCTGTATTTATGGCTTTCATTTTACAAGCTGGGCTTGTATAGATTATTTATTTTTGAAAAAAAAACTATTTTCTGTTCATGATTTTTCCTATAATGTAACTTTTTTTTCTTCCAAAGTGATGATATTCAATTGTTGCATTGCTTATGTCAAAAAATTTCAAATCTACATTTCTTTTCCATGGTATCTTTTAAGTAGATTTTTTATTTATTAAATTTATGTTTAAACATTTTTCTTGAGGTTTCAAGAATTCATTCTTATCTGTTAAGTAAGGGACACTGTACAACTGATTGTTTTTTGTTGGTTTTATAATTTTCTGTTACAAACTGTTGGGTAATTTTTTTTTCAGGCAACTACTCCATGAATCAAACAACTTAAGTTATATTTTTTTAAAGAGTTGTCTCCCTGCAACCACTTTTTGTCTATTTTTATCTTAATTGATTATTGTTAATGTGATACAATCGAAATGGCATTATTAGAACTATTTTGTATATAATTAGTTTGGCCTAATGAAGTTTTTTTCCTTTTTTACACAAACCAGACTGGAACCAGTCAGAATTATTTTTGCCTGCCGTTGACTGGTTTAAAATTTATACCAATTGTTAACCCATTACTTCATAGCATTTTTTGAAAATGGCTCAATTTTCATTGAAAAGCCTCCTGTTACAAGTTCAAATTGCTATGAAACTATAAAAAAGGCTTTAATACTGTTCAAACTTGGCACAAATGTTGATTGGACCATATCCTTTGTAATGGCATACTCAATCTTAAATTTCCTGTTACATAGGCAATGAGGGGACACCTCAAAATTGCCAAAGACACTATTTTGCGTTTTCCATCAAAACTGATTTTTCAAAGTGCTGCAATTTCTCAGTGGATTGAGATAAAGTCAAAGGCTTTTCAGTGTTGGTTACACGTTACCTTAAGGTAGACCTGGGGCCATTTTTAGCCTCTCACATGTCCAAAGTTTTGTAGGATATTTGATAGGGGATGGCACCGAAATAGTAATCACCTTTTTTAACACCATTTCTCGAATGAAAACAAGTGTTTGGGGTCTAAATTGGGCATATTTTCACTATTTGAGGCTTCAAAAAGGGGTGTGTGAAAAGGAGTAACAAGAGGTCTATATGAAGTAATGGGTCCAGTCAAATGTAAGACTGGATTTAGATCTGCAGTTGCTGTTTTCAGTCATCAGTTACATACCAGAATGCAACCAGTCAGAATTGTTTTTGCCTGCTGTTGACTGGTTTAAAATTAATACAGATAAATAACCAGTCAAATGTAAGACTGGTTCAGCAGTTCCAGTTTTCAAACATCAGTTCATATAAAATGTGCTAGCAATATATCTTTTTTTTCTATTGTCAGTTTTGTACATCAAGTCACAATATTTTGTAAGTTTCATTATTTGTGAGCTATTTTTAGAAAATTCTCTTTTCTTTAAATACGGTATTAAATTTTTCTTTATTTACTATTTCTTGTAACTCTTTGTAAATGAAAATTTACCAATTAAGTGGTTCAAAAACACAGTGCTAATTAGGATTTGGATCATTTTCAACATGACTCGAAGATTTGTTAACTTCTAAATTGAATTGTGGGCATAATTGTTCTTCTAAACTTGGAATACTTGCTTATTACGACAAGATGCATTTGGGGCATAATTCTTGAAGCAAAAATTTTTGAGTAATGCCCCTTTTTAACTTGAATTTTAAAAAGACCAATGTTAACACTGCATGTAGTGCTCTTGTTTAAATTTCAAATTTGCTAAATGTTAATATATGGCTTATCCGGTTTATAGGTGATATTGTATAATAATTAGGAAATGATCGAAAACATTGTTAGTGCTTTTTGCTAAAATATACTATTTTTAAATGCAGTGCTGAAGTATAAAAGGCGGAATAATATATGGGGTAACTTTTTTCGCCAGATGAATTTCATGAACTATAGGCTTTAGGCTTTATCTAAGCTTGCTTTTATTGGCTGATTTAATGTGAAATACAAATGCTGTTTAGAAATTCATCTCTTTGCTTTAATTGCCATACCAAATAGCTTTTAGGTGACTGAAAATTAATTTTTATTTATTATTGACATTTTTTTAATAAAATAAAAGCTAAACATGTGGGGTTTTTATTATGTAAATGACAATTTTGTGATTTTGACTTTGTAATTGAAATCTTTAAATTCCCTGTTGTTTCATGATAGACCCACTGTATATTTATTACCTGTAATGCCTAACTCTTTGTATTTGTTCATCTGGATCAAAGGGTAAATGTTGTTAACAAGGTATTTCATTTATATATTATATGTTTAACAAATTAAATCTACATAACATAAATAATCGTTCAGCAAGGCCTAATTGTATTTTTTCTGTGCAGCATCTATAATTATAAGCTTCTTGTTCAAAGTTTTTTTCTTGAAATATTACACTTAATATCCATCACATTCTAGATGTTTACGGTGCTGATGGTTAACTTTCATTGTACCAATGTAGCTCTATGTATTATTTGATCAAAGGGTCAAAATACGATGTGTCAAAATATACGTGTCTGCTTAGATTTTGAAACAGTCTAATAATACATAGATTTGAGGCAAATCATTTTAGTAAATTCTATAACCTTTTTTCCTGCAGAAAATTGTGCAATGGACATTGCTTTGCTTTGAATTTTGGAACAGTTCATTGGAAATGTAAGGGGTTTCAGTATGAAAATATTTAAGAAATTTTTCAATAACAAGCAGCTTTCTTAAAGTATGGTTAGAACTGCACAGGTGCCAGATTGCTTAGATGGCCTAGTTGGCCAGGCTTTAAGATAATGTTGCGAAAAATCTGTTATAGGAGATAATTTTATACAATTATAATAACCCTTCTTCACTAGGCTTCACAAAACATGTTATCATTACTATGAGCTTAAGCTTTTAGAGCTTTATGATTGGTCTAAAATTTGAAGTTTTATCATTAACTTAGACTGGTTTTTATTAAATTTTTAGACTGTGTTAATTAAGATTTTTTATCCGTGGAAAGCTTTAAAAAGGCATATTTATTTAAGAGCCTTTATTATAATAAAAGTATTTCATTTTTGCCAAATTGAATTATTTCATTGGTTGTTATTTGACTGAACATTTAAAGGGACGTCCTTTCAGAATAACAAAGTTTCTTTTATGATACTGTATTTTATTATCAAAGCATTCAAAGTGCAAATTGTTTAAATGAAATAAGACTCCCTATAAGATTGAAATCTAAGTATTTTTTTTTACATATCTTACATACAATGTATCTAAAGCAGTATTGGATCTTAAGTATTCTAAAAAATCACCCAACAAAATGTTATACATGTAAAAAAAATATTGTTTAATCAAAAAAAAAATTTAAATTCCATCGAAACATTTTTCTAATATTAATTTTTTTTCCTTGAGAGATGACTAAGGAAAGAATGGAAAGTTTTTTTTTTTAAAAATCAGAAACTTTTATATTTAAAGATGTACATGTATAAATATTATATAAACAAGATTTTCTGGAGGTATGTCCCTTTAATATATATTTTTACCTTCATTATGAAGAATTTATTAAGGTTTAAAATTTGTTTAGAACGTAGATATAAATGTCCTGGGTAACATGTATAATAAATCATTCTTGGTAACTTATTTCAGTATTTTTTGACAGCTGTGAATGTTATTTAAAAACTGCATGGTTTTTCCATGTTTGTTCGAAATGTGTTGAAATAATGTACTAAGAATAATTAGTGAATTGAAATAGTGTTATAGTTTGGACAAATTTAAGTGATTATGTTAATTGCAATTAAATTTGATATTTTTTCATGTATACTTTTCATTTTGTGTATGCAAAACAAATACCAGTAGGCTTTAATTAGAGAAAAATTAAATGTATATTACATTGGATTTTTGAAATGTAATTTTGTTAGGATTCATCTAAAAACTGTAATTCTTCTAAAAAAATGTAATTTGATAAAAATATAATTGTGTGTCAAAAATCTGAAAACATTTCGTATATTGAATTAATGAATTAAAAAAGAAACCATAAGAAATTGAAATGTTTTATAGAACTGGTGTTAAAATAAAAAAAATTAAAAAATTAACATATGAAGCTTTAAATATGCAGGCCTATAGTATAAAAACTTTAACCTAGGTATTTGTCTTGCATTCACAGTATGTTTTTACTCCATGACATGTAGCTATTCTTTGTGTGTCAATTGAAATTTTTTTATGTAACTTTTTTGTCTGTTAAAAGCTCGTTTTTGTTCTACTCTTTATTTTTTTTCTTATACTGTTATATTAGATTTTACTCAATTGAATTAGTACAGAGTCCTTCACTGATTGAAGACTGCTGTTAAAAAAATAAATTATTATGAATGTTTTTAGATTTGTCTTATTCTTTACTTCACCTGGTGAAGATATGGTCTCACTCTGAATCCTAGAAATAAATGAGCCGCGTCACGACAAAACCAACATATTGGGTTTGCGACCAGTATGGATCCAGACCAGCCTGCGCATCCGCGCAGTCTGATCAGGATCCATGCTGTTCGCTTACCGACCCTATTACATGTACAGAAACTGATAGCGAACAGTTGTCATGACGGGGCTCAAATCATCTGATAGTGATCAATCATTGGGATGCCCTCTCAAGAGAAGAGTTGCAAGTTCGAGCCCTCCTAAAGACATGGTCATACTATGTAAGGTACCTGCCTCTCTTGTGACCGATTTTCAAACTCCTTGTGTGCAATTGGATTGTTTTGGATGTGTCTTTTAAGTAAAGGAGTAAAGGATTATGAGTTTGAACCTTACCTGAGATCCTGAGATGTGCCTCCAAAGTAATGGATTATGAGTTAGAACCCTTCTCAGAATGTAGTCATATTTTTTAGATGTCTGTCTACAGAGTCATGTATAGTGACTTTAAATGCCCATAAAATCATGGCCATAGGTTGCCTCATATTTTGGTTATTGATATCACAACTGGGTAATCCTGGAAGCCAATTTGATAAATGTACACATCTGCAAGAAATTACACAGTGATCAGATTATGAATTTTAGCTTGACTGTAAAGTACAGTGCATGTGTATATAGAGCTGTGCTACTTACCACATCCAGATTTCTGATTAAAGTTTTTGCACAGTAAGATGTTGTTTCACTATAACTTCTTTACTTTTTGAAAGCTTAACTTCAGACTTCATATAAATGTTTCTTATCATCATCAACATTATATGTGACAGGGGTCTCAACTCCAGCACCAATTTTTCCAAAATTATCCCCGGCTTGAACTTAGATATAATGTTTTACTTCTAACTTTAAGCTCCATCTCATGAGGCATGGGGCGTCCATGGCCGAGTGGTTAAGGTCGTTGCCTTCAAATCACTTGCCCCTCACCACTGTGGGTTCGAATCCCGACAGGGACTTTGGATTATTTCATGTGAGGAAGCTATCCAGCTAGCTTACTTCTACTCAGTAATAATGCACGAAAGGGCACCTAAGGTCTTCCTCCACCAGAAAAGCTGGAACGTCGCGATATGACCTATACTGTGTCGATGTGACGTAAACCCTCCCCCCCCAAAAAAAAAAAAAAAAAAAAACAAACAAAATCATGAGGCATATTTTTCAATACCATCTTCAGCATTATATGTGTGACAAACTTCAAAAAAAGCACCAGTGTTTCCAGAATTATCTCCCCCATGAATTCTAATATTTCTTTTAAAATGAATTATTATTTCTTAATCTTACTTTATTTCTTGAGGGATTTACTTGAAAATGTTCCTCATTTTACATTTCACATTATATGTTGTAAGGTTAATGACACTAGCACCAGTATTTTCAGAATTATCTTCCCATTGAACATAGAATTTTCCTTAAAGGCACATAATGCCTCCAAAACAAAATTATTTAATTAACTTTGACTTTTTTAAAAAGGGGAAATACATGTATTAGTTTTATAACATTAAGATAATGGTTTTAGAGCATGTTACATGCATGTTGCCTGAAGAAAGTATCACTTAATGTGAATGAATTTGTCACAAAAGCAGCAAAAATGTAAACAAAACAGTATTTTGATAGCTCTTGTTAGCTCGACTATTCCATAAGAATAAGTAGAGCTATTGTAGTCACCCGGGCGTCGGCGTCAGTGTCGGTATCGGCGTAACCACTTATTTCAAAGTTTTTGTAATACCTCAACTATTTTCAAAGTCCATTGGCATATGGCTTTGAAACTTTGCACACTTATTCACCGACTATTCTTAGTGCTTGATAGTTGAAGAGCCTTGATAGTGAAATTTTTTTAAGTTAACAAAAGGGTAAAATTTTGCTTTAAATCCATGTTACAGTTATCGACCATGGAGAGAGTCCTATTATGCTCTCAAGAGTATAAAAAGATAGTGAAAATTTTCTAAGTTAACAAAAGGGTAAAATTTTGCTTTAAATCCATGTTACAGTTATAGACCGTGGAGAGAGTCCTATTATGCTCTCAAAGAGAGTATAAAATTTCAACATGTTTCAAAGCCAGATGTCAATAGAATATGAAAATATCTGAGGTGGTATGGAAACTTAAATGTAAATTCTAAGTTGAAAATGGGGCATTGTTCTGCCAAATGTTTCATAGAGTTACCTCCTCCTGTCCACAGGTTGGGGTCATGATGGTGAACAAGTGTGCTAAGTTTCAAAGCCATATGTCAATGGACTTTGAAAATATTTGAGGTATTACAAAAACTTTAACATAAGTGGTAACGCCGACTACAATAGCTCTACTTATTCTTATCGAATAGTCGAGCTAAAAATGGGAAACCCAAATAGATATGTCCCATATACTCTTTACGGACGAAATATTTCTTATTGTTTTATTTATGGAATTTGAAACTGTACTACAACAGACAGTTCGGAAAATACATACATGTGAATAAATTTATTGCAGCTATAATAAATTTAACACGAAAATCACGCACGCTGAACTGGTGTTTGAAACACGCTTAGCACGTGCAAACTCGGTTTATCGTGCATTTTGTACATACACATGTTCGAGACTATATTTACGATACGAAGAATGTACAGAGGTGAAGGGCAATGTATCCGATATCGTATTCAGCTGTAATCGATAAGATTTTAAAACTAAAAAAAAACAACAAAAAAACAAAACAAAAAAAAACATTCATATGAGAATCGCCTAAACAAGATAGGCACTGCCTCAAATTCTTAGCTCGATCTCAAATCTGGTCAGATGTCAACAAATAATGTTCACTGGCTAATGAAAATTCTGAGATTCGAGAGAGATCTTGGGGAGGGGGGTGGGGTCGCGGGGGAAATTTACAACCGCGATATTAATATAACGAATGTCAAAGAGGGTTTAAACACTGTAAAAAATAAGGAAACATGTAATTACAAGTGGAATCTATAAATCTTGTACCTCGTGGCTTTGAAACGATTTTATGAGACAAAGCGATTACTGACGTCAACTTCCCAAGCACTGGTTCGATAACGCACCTTTATAAGGTACACCAGGAAAAAGCCTTACCCGACATCCTACCTGTCAGATGAAGTGGAAGAGATCAAACTTGCATTGCTGGTTTGGTAGTGCAACAGTGTCATCTCGCTACCTAAAGCCAACTCTGGTGTACTGGTAATATTAAACTTAGTGTAAATATTACACTTAGCTTAGCCTGCTAACGGCAACCAACAGATTCTACTTATGCAGAGCGACCAATGCACACCGAGATCAAATGGCACATCGGCGCCGCCTGATCATGGTCTGCGCTGTTCGGTACCCAGAAAGAACTTATTTTGAAATTTTCCGCTAAAAATTAATAATGGTTTTGTCCAGATTGAAAGATGAAAGGCACATTACACCTCAGAAATCCATATTTGTTTCAATTATTTAGAAATGTTAAACATGTTTATAATGAATTTAGAGCATATTAGATGTTTAACAACTGAAAAGGGTAGCGCTAGACGTGCAGTAATTTGTCAAAAAGGTACCAATATGTAATCAAAGGACTGCAAGCTCTGTGGTATTTTCTGATCCCTGCAATCTAAATCGTACTGTATATCTGTATGTGTTTTCCTGTATAAGTTTATTTTTATGTACTATAAGTCATCTTGCAGGGCACCAGAGTTTGATACATACGGAATTTTGCATAACTAGAGTTGCATCAAAAAATAATTTATGTTCATTTTTTATGATAGCCACACTTTATCCTTGCATATCGTGGCTATTTCCTTAACAAAGACACTGAAAAAAAGAATTAAAAAATGGTTGACTCGACTGGGAATTGAACTCCAGACCTCTCACACACCAAACGAGCGCGTTACCACTGCACCACGAAGAAGTTTTAAGATCATAAGCTGAATAAAATCAAGTCATTCTAAATTTAGAATTTCCATTGCATTTCGGGTTAGGGTAATTTCGAGGTATTTTGTTCAGGGTAAACCTGTTGTTTAAAATTGAAGTAAATAATTTTGCAAAAATTTTCTCGCCCAAACAGTCCAACATGTAGAAACTATATATTCAACTACTCGGCAGTCAGATTTATTTGTGTAGTATTCGGTAATCGACATCGCTAAAAATAGCATTTTCATTGATTAAAATCATATTCATCCGCGTAATTTGTGAGTGTGCATTTATTGACAACTCTATTAGCCAACGCTACTTTAAAAGTTTGAAGGTGTAGTAATTTGTTGGACACTTGTAACAAAAATTGTTCTTTCTTTTAAATTGCTGGTTTTTAAGCAGTTTTGAGTGAGAACTAATTTGCGTTGTTAGGACTGTTAGGAAATTTTGTGTTAGACCGTGGATGTTAGCTATGTATTATCTGATCTGCGATCAGAAAATACAAAAAAGTAGTATTTTGACTTCCATACGATATACTAATTCACTATTACTATACAAATTTCTAATATAGCAACAGAAGCAAGTGATTATCTAAAGTATATATATAGTATATATCTATATCGCTGAAGAATCTGTAAAAATATACCAAAAGATGAATAAAAATAATAGCATATCTGAGGCATAATGGGCCTTTAAGTTAGCAACCATGATTTGTGTGCGTGTGTCGCCAGATGAGGGTACATATATAATAGTAAATTAAGATTTCTATAATTATAAGTAACTCAATTCCAACAATCACTGGTCAAGTAGTATTAACTTCTTGATTGTTTTGATTTAAACTTTTTGGACTGTAAAAATACATGTATTCATAAAGTACAATGTTAATCCTTTGACCATCTTAGAGGGATTATCGATGGGTATTAATTTCACAAATCCCAATAAATACTTTATAATGAATACTATGTCCCTAAAACGGTTTGTTCTACCCTCAGATAAACAGGTAGTTTTGTGCGTAATTAGAGATTTGTTATTCTAAAACCTGATGGATATAC